CTTCCCTTCCCTTCCCTTCCCTTCCCTCCTCCCCTTCCTTCTTTTCCCTTTCTCTTTCCCTTTCCTCTTCCCTATCTTTCTTTCCCCATTTCCAGGCAGGGTTGCACTTTCCTTTTTATTCCCTTCAGCACCTGCCTCCAGGTTTATGCTCTTTATTTATCCTTGACTTTACCTTGTGGAAACAGAAACCCTTGTGTTTTCCTGATGACAGGCAAGGACTTGACACTATCAAACACGTCTATCGGCAGGTTCGGGCAGTGGCGGCACCTGCATAATAAGAAAACCCTGCTCAGGTGGGCCAGCAGGAGCCGAGGCATCCCTTACCAGCCTGCCCCTTTTTTTTTAGTATTTTGAAGCCACTCCTGGTTGTGTACAGTCAGCTGTGGGTTTCTTGAGGATATGCCTCGTTGTGGCAGCTGGCTGATTCTGGAACAAAGCAGCCAGGGCTCCCTCCCGTTTAGCAGGTCCAAACCACTTCTCACCCAACTTAGCAGCTCCTTTTCAATGTTTCTAGTCCTCAGTAAGGCAACAACCTCTGGCTTTCCTTCCGGTTTCAGACAGATGATTATTATTTTTTTGCCCCTCCTTCCCTTCCTTTCTTGCAGTCTCACTTCTCAAAAAAATATTTCCAAAAGACAATCGTCTTGCAAATGGAGGGATGCCTGCCTTACTTGTCTCTTGGTTCCAAAAAGGAAAGGGATTTTTTTTTTTAAAAAAAAAACCCTGCAATCTTCTTTTTTTTTTTTTGCAAAAGCAGGAGAGAATATATTATAATTATAAGGAGCATATATCAAAGAAGTTGGACGATTAAAAACTGTATATGTATAAATTGTATTCTAATTGTTAGCATTGTGTGAAAAATATATTGAGCCAGTCACTACACTGTCCAAAAAAGACGTGGGTTGTTTAAGGAAAACTACAAATAAGATATTATAAAGAAAGGGAAATTTCTTTTAAAAAACCCCCACAATTTTCTTTTTTTACAAAAACAGGAGAGAAATAAGAACTATTCCCCCCCCCCTCTCTTTCCTGCTTGTTCAGCTAAGTCCAGCGTGCATGTAACAACTACGCAGCCCATCTCAACCGCCCCACCACCCCAAAAAACTCCCCAACTCTCCAGGATTTCGCTTAATCGAAGCCAATCCTATTCCGATTCATTTTCAACTCCCTGTTTGAAAATAAAAACACAGTTAAACTGGCTTGGAGCACGGAGAGGGTTGCCGATTGATCATTAACTTTTCTAAACACCGGGTTGCTTCATTTATTTGAGCCAGGTGAGTGTGCAAGAGATCAGAAAAAAACAAAATTAAATTAAAAATAAATGCAGCACCATCACGGTTTTCCTGCCTTTATTTTTATTTTTGTCCACTTGTCGAGTGTGTAAAAGCCTTGCACGTCCCACTTTTTTTGTTCAGCAGTTGTTCCGGCCTTTGCTCTCTGCTAGCTAATAAGGTGTGGCTGATTAAATTCAGGTGGTTCTCTCTTCTTCCCTTTTACCTGGAAGATTTGCATGTTTGACCTGGCGAAGTAATTGGGCCTGGCAGCAACCTGGGCGTGCCCAAAGACTGTTTCACATATGACTCACAAGCTGTAACACACAGGCACCCACTTCCCCAATCCGCAGAAGCCATTTTAAACTGCACACACACACACACACACACACACACACACACACACACAACACACACACACCGGTACCGTCTTAATTTTTGGGGATCCCTGCCAGCCACGTCGAGCAAGGTAATTGATTCAATTTCAGTGAAATTTTGAGAACTTTTGCGGGTGGATTCTGGGGGAGGATTATGTGCATGCTGAGTTATTTTATTTAAAATAAAAAATAAAAAACACACAGACACACACCCCCGGGTGTGTGCCTTTTTGCGTCCTAGGCTTAGTTGCATTTTAAGAAAGCGATGCGGGAACAGAGAACGTTTTCTGGAATCTGTTTCCATTTCTCCTTTTAAATTTTCCTTCGCTCTAAACATTTTGTTTAGGAGTGTCGATAGAGAGAAAAAATTTAAGAAAAAAGAAAAAAAGTTAGCCGAGTTAATTCCTTTTTTTTTTTTTAAATGAAAACAGGTTTAGGAAGATCTGTCAGTTTAACTAATCACCGGTACAACTAAAACATAGATATGTATTATTAGGCTTTTTGAATTGAGAAGAAGGAAACAGAGAAAAGTGGACTAAAGTCAGTGCTGTGGAATAGAAATAAATGCGTTTTAGGCATAAAGCTATCTTCTAACTGGAGGTAAAGAATATTCCTTGCGTGTTGCGTGTTTCGAAGCGTGGGATAGCTTCTGCTGGCCCATCGGTAAAAATATTTGGATTATTTATTTGAGAATGTGTGTCTTTCTGCCAAACATGTTTGCTGTAATTCCTTGTTGTTCCTTGTGGTTGACTTATTCAGTATGGCTGCTGTTGCTTAATACCGGCTATGACATCTTGCTAGGGTTCATGGCTTGGAGAGGTTTTGTGGAGACCCGTTGCCAAAGTTTTGGGTTGTGACTTCAGTTGTCAAATGCTGCCTGAAGGAGTCTTCTTTTCGTGGGGGGGAAAGGAGGAGGAAGAGAAGGGACTTGAAATGTCTCTAAATTCAGCTTTCACCCACCTGGTCCACTCCAGAACCAAGATTGCACCCTACAATGTATTAATCTAGTAATTTTTTTCATGCTGCCTTGAGATAGGATGGTGATACGTTCCATTTGAAGGATGCTAGATAGAGGAAGATTGTGATAAAAGGACTGTCGAGGTTTTGTTCCCTCTTGCAATTTAGGCAAGATTTCTTTGAGAAAGATTGGCCATTAATTTCGTTTTCTCGTGAAAAACGAAACTTACTCAATTTTAAAAACTTCATTGGATTTCCCAAAATTGCGCTCGTGCTGCCAGGGAATAGCTGGCAAGTAATATTGTCGGTGTTTGTGTAAAAATACATTGGCCTTGCTCGCTGTACTGTTAGAGATATTTACAATTATCCATTTTGAACAGAGTGTATTTCTCGGCCTTAGATAATGCTCTTGAATTATGGGTAAAAAAAAAAAAAGGTTTTCAGCAGCTTTTTAAAAAAACAATATTTTAAGCAGTAGTGTTCCCTAGATTGAGGAGTTTGGATGGAAAGTAATAGTAACTTATTTAGAATTTAAATATTGAAGTATTGAACTCCTTGTTTCTGCTCAGGATTGGAAAATATATTTTCTATTAACTGGATTTACAAGCCGGCTATTTTAACAGCAGATTTTTATCAGTAGCGAATTTGTCTCAAAAGTGATTAGATTTAATAAATAATTGAGGATAGTAGGTGCAGTTGAGTCTGGTGGAGGATGAAGGCTGTTGGGGCATGTCAAAAGTATTTTGTTTTGGCATTCCTGCTGCTTGATGAATTGAATGGCCTATGGAAGCCCTGTCCTTGTTTTCTTCTGCTCCTGAAGTCAATGAATGGAAGGCAGATCTGATCCGGAATACGTTTAATTCTTGTCCCGGAGTGACTTTTTCTTGGAATCAAAAATTTGCGAATACGGAAAACTTAATAGCTATCATCTTGATTACTTGTATGACAATTCAGGGTTTATTCAATTTAGGGCAGAGTCACTTTCATTTAGAGTGAGTTATAATGTGATTTAGTTCCTGCATTTCCTTCACTCTGAATTCGTCATTTTTATAATTAACAACGTAATTGTTGACAATAGAAGGCTTTAATTCTGAACTGTCGAAAAATATGCAGGTAGCCCTGACCACAATTGAGCCCAAAATTTATGTTGTTAAGAGAGACATTTGTTAAGTGAGTTTTGCCTCATGTTATGACCTTTCTGGCCACAGTTGTTAAGTGAATCGCTGCCATTGTTACGTTAGTCACGCGGTTGTTTAGTGAATCTGGCTCCCCCATGGATTTTGCTTGTTGGAAGGTCTCAAAAACGTGACCTTGGGACACTGCAATGGTCTTAAATCTGAACCAACTGCCAAGCATCTGAATTTGGACCGCGGGGGATGCTGCAACGGTCATAAATGTGGAAAAACGGTCATAAGTCCCTTTTGTCAGTGTCGTTTCAATGGTCACTAAATGAATTGTTGTAAGTCGAGGGCTACCTGTCTTGAAAGGTTTAAAAAAGAACATTGTGGACCTTGGAAAGCCACTGGAGACTGAGGCATAGTGAGCATGAGGTGCGCTACCTGGAGAACAAGAGTTGCATGGTCCTCACGATGCTTTAGAACAAGGGTCTTCAAACTTGGCATACATTAAAAATGAAATTTCGTTGTCTACAGCTCTTAACGCAAGGGTCTTCAAACTCGGCAAGTTTTAAGACTTGTGGACTTCAACTCCCAGAATTCCTGAGCTAACATGACTGGAGGAGGAATTCTGGGAGTTGAAGTCCACAAGTCTTAAAGCTGTCAAGTTTGAAGACCCCTGCTTTAGAAGAGCTTGGAAGCTTTCTTGAAGGTTTTCTGAAGCATTGTGAGAATGGGCCACGCCATTCGGAGAAAGGCAGATATAATTTGGAGAGCGGCCCTTGGTGCTCTCTGAGCTTGGTGGTTTTCTTGCAGATGTTTCATTACCCAGGTAGCACATCAGCAACATCAATGCTAGAAGGGAGTGGGGTTCGCGGTGCAGAAGGGGAGGAGGAGGAAGGAGAAGGGAAGAAAGGAAGAGGAGAAGAAAGAGGACTGAGGGGTCCTTGGTGCTCTCTGAGCTTGGTTGGTTTCTTGAAGACATTTCATTACCCAAACTGGGGAACATCACCAGTGCGAGTGACTGGCATTGACTAGCCCTGTTGATATTACCTAGTTTGAGCAATGAAACATCTGCAAGAAAACAACCAAGCTCAGAGAACATTAAGGATCCTTCTCATTTCAACCCTGAACTAGAAATATGCTCCTTTACTGGCACTTTGGAGAGCCAGGCTGATGGTCCTTGAGAAGAAGACCTGGGGTGGCCTACATGTACCTCTCATAGGGTAGGCCAGGTGTACCTCTCCAACAGCAGGAGGAAAACGTTGAAGGCCAGCTGGCCACTGATGGGGATGTGGAACTCAAGTTGGCTGGGACTTTGGGTTGTGATGGCTGGTCTTGGCGTGGGACTTGAGGTGGCACTCAAAGGAAGTACCGGTCTGGAGGCAATGATGGCCAGCTGAGGCTCCTGAAGGCTGCTGCAGGAGGACTCTTCCAGGAATGCCAGTGAGGAGGGTTGGGCAAGGGCAGAGATGGGTGGCAAGTAGAGGTGAAAACAACCGAGGGAACATTAAGGAACATCTCCTCATTTCAACCCTGACCTGCAAATATTCTCCTTTTCTGGCCCTTGGGAGAACCGGGGAGGCGGGTCTTGAGAAGAAGGCCTGGGCTGCAAGGCATAAAAGTGAGGACGTGAGAGGGATGAGGTGGTCCGTCCTTACTTGAGACTCTGGGCTGGGGAGGGAGCAAACAGGAATTGTTTGGTTCATGGTAGGCTTACCAACCCGCTCGTCTTGGGGTTACAATGGCAGTTGGACTGCTCCAGATTGTCCCAGCTAAGTGACACAGTCATGTGACATCACGTTGTAACTGTCTTGCTTAACCATGGAAGTTCCCGTCCCAACTCCCATCGTAAGTCAAGGATTGCCTGCGGAGCGTGTAAGAGGAACCCAGTAATATCTTTCTGCGGAGCAACATTACGACTTGGCTATCAACCACTATTGAGTCTTTGCACTAATGCTATGGAAGCATTGACAAACGATTTTGGAACCACTGAATTTTCTGATCTTTTCCCCATTGAGCAGGGCTAAATAACACTAGAGAAAGTTGGCTTTGCTCAACTGTAAATTGTTGATTATAGAATTAAAAAAAGAAACGGATATGTCCATAAAGAGTCAAAGTGGCCAGTTTTGAAGGTCATATTCCCTGTTGCACAAGCTCGTTGTGACTTTGGGCCACAGTTAGTGTCTTGAATTCTTGGAGGAAAGGCAGGATATTAATCTAAAACAACAATTAAGAGAAATAAACACCACCTGGTGACTTATCCCTCTAATCTGAAAATAACCATTTTAAATCGAAACAGAGCTGACCTTGGTGATTTCAGCCTGGTTATGAATTCTGTTCCAAGAATTCAGGTATCAACAGGTTTTTAACCTCTATATAAATTTATTTTTCATATTGAATGCAAATCCAGACATACAGAGGATCAAACATTTCATTTTCAGGCATGGATTTGAATTTTAATTCAAATTCGCACTATGACAGAGAAATAGGCCAGGCAACTGTTCCAAGAGCCTTCCTAGAATTCTTTGTTTCTTTATTAAATGTGTTTGCTGTCCATCCCATTTCTAGGTGTGCTCTCAGTATTTCTCTGAATCTGCAATCTTACAGGGTTGAAATGAGATTTGTAAGAATAAAATACAGTTAATATTTGAAAATGCTATAGAATATGCATTGTTACCAGAATTCATCTTATCCGTTTTTCCTCCCCTTATTAATAAACTCTGCTCTCCCCTTTTCTGCTTTTAGCCTATAGTACATTTCATCTGCTTAAAAACACAGATATAACAAGCAGTAGAAAATCGGTTTCCCCAAGTATATTTCCATTTGTCTTTGTAATGGAGGTGAATCATGAAGGTTGGAATACAGTTTTGTCTGAAATCCCTGCTGAATCACTGCAAATAAAATATAGAGAGCTGTGATGAAAATCTGAGTTTTTATGCATTAGGAGCCCAGGTTGTTATTACATATTTGAATTATAGAATAGAAGTAATATTTGCAGTTATTAAAACCCAAACCAGCACCTCAAAACTCATTTTAAAAGTGCTTGTTTTTGTTTTGTTTTTTGACAAATATTTTTTCAGCGAAAGGGGCAGAAAAATGACTTGATTTTCTGTTTTTTTTTCTTTCAAGAATGCCACTGAGTGTTTTCTTCAATATGCATGCTAGCTATTCCTACAATCGGAGCCCGCCTGTTGAGATGACCTTTGGTTTAGAGACTACGGAGACAGTACAGTGTAAATATTAGGGGAAGTCTTAATTCTCTGGAAGTAGAAGTTGTTTTCATCCGCGGAGAACGAGAGCAAAAATGAAACGCTGATGGTCAATCAAAATTGGTTGGCGCAAAAAATATTTTTTTTTTCCCTGCAAAAAAAAAAAGAAAAGACACCAGGTTGCTTCCAAATGCAAAAAAAATATATGTTTTTTTTATCTCATCGTCTTTAAAACGATCTTTGCTTCTGTGGAAGTTGGTTGTTTAAAGTTAGCTGGGTTTTTTTCTTCCCTCCCTCTCGTTGAACCCACAGCTCATTTTTTTGCAATAAAACTGACTAACCCAGCTGTTCCTTTTTGGAGCCTAGTTTCATTTCTCCTTCCTATGATTTGCAAAAGTCCTTTGAGCAACCCCTTTTGCAAGATCAACAACTCCTTGACTTCGGTTTCATGTTGTGGAGACACAAGTTGGTAGAAAATAGCAGTTTTTTTTTAAATTCCAAAAGGGCTTTTTTCCCCGCAAGGCTGGGGAAGAAATGCATGGGGAATAATGCAAATGCAATCCAGATTGGAACCCAGGAGGTGTCAGATTTGGAAACTACCATTTTAATTTAATTTATTAATTATTTTTATTTATTTTTATTTTACTTTGTTTTATTTTAAGTAAAATAAAATAAGCAAATAGGACTATCGAACAATGTAGTCCAAGTTTTGGAATTGTTCTACTTCTAAAATAATCTTAAGTCTTTTTTATTTTATTTTTATAGTTTGGTATACACCAGGTACTCTTGGCCTTGCAACAGTTCATTTAGTTATTATTTATTTATTTATTTTCTCAAAAGCTTACAATACAATAGAAATAAGAATAAACATAAGTTTAAATATAAGAAATGGGAACTGATAATTGGGGACAATAGGACAGGGACCGTGGGCACGATTGTGCGCTTATGCACGCCCCTTACAGACCTCTTAGGAATGAGATGAGGTCAATAGAGGTTGGTTTGTGACCCTTCAAAGTTACAACGGCACTGAAAAAATGTGACATGACCATTTTTCACAGTTACGACTGTTGCAGCGTCCTTATGATCACATGATCAAAATTCAGAGCCTTGGCAACTGGCATGTACTTATGACGGTTTCAGTACTTTCCCCTTTTACGATCTTCTGACGAGCAAAGTCAATGGGAGAAGCTAAATTCAGTCAACAACCATGTTGCTAACTTACCAATTGCAATGATTCACTTAACAACTGTGGCAAGAAAGATCATAAAATGGGGCAAAACTGACTTAACAGATGTCTCACTTAACAACAGAAATTTTAGGCTCAATTGTGGTCATACATCGAGGACTACCTATACTTATCCATCCATTGGAACCGAGTAGCCAATACTACTATTAATAATAAGTTGTTTTATTAGTTACTTACTTCATTAGTGCGCATTATAATAAATAAACAAAGGAAATGGAGGGAAAACAATGACTCTCTGCCCTAAAACACATACAACTAACCTTTCGTTATCAAATACTTTGGTTCACAGAGAATAATTTGACATGAATGTGCATGGAAGTATATTTTATGGGTTTTGTGGCGACGTGAAGAATGACTGATCTTTTCTGTTTAGAAATAGCAAAACCCAATTAATAAGAATTTGAAAATGTACAGTTAACAATACCTTTGCAAAGTAACAGATTTTGTCAAGATGCTGGACAGAGGACAAGAAAAATAAACTAGCAACTAACTACAATCTTAAAGATCATTATTCTGCTTGTTTTCTATGTGAAATACCTGCATTATTTGCAGCTTATATGGGATGGCAGTTCAGCAGATAATAACCTCAATTTTAACAATGCCTAAAATGCTGCTCATCACTCTGCTAAACAAATAATTCCCTCAACACTGTCCAACTATTTACAAAGTCTGCACTACTATTACTATTAATCTTCTCATCACTCCTTATCACCCATCCCCTCCCGCTTGTGACTGTATGATTGTCACTTTGTCGCTTGTATCCTTACGATTTATATTGACTGTTTCCAAGTATGATTTGATTGCTTATTGTACCCTATGACTATTAAGTCTTGTGCCTGATGGTTCTTGACAAATGTATCTTTTCTTTTATGTACCCTGAGAGCATTTGCACCAAGACAAATTCCTTGTGTGTCCAACCACACTTGGCCAATAAAGAATTCT